ACACTCTAGTCAAAGCAGTTAAGCAAAGTTAAGCAAAGTTAAGCTTATACAATTTAAGGTACTTATACAAGAGTCAAAAACTGAGTCTAAGCATCACAACCAAAGTACTCACTATTCTCAAGGCATAACAAAGTCAAGATATATTGCTTCAACTCAATTCATCTCACACTGGCTCCTACTCCTAAAAAAAAATAAAACTAACTACACCCGGTTCAAACAAAACCCTTGGAAAAGAACCGCGGCACAAAGAAAAACCAAGGGGTAATTGCTATACTACCTAACAAAAGAAAATCTTTTTGTCTTTTTCCTTTCGACTTAAATCCCTCAAGAACATTGTCTAATATATCCATCGTCGGGAAAAGTCCAATCATTTCAAAGAAAAAACATTATTCAATTAAACTAACATAGCTAAAGTAGCATAGAAAGTCACCCAGACAATCTCCTCACCCCATACTTAAACTTGTACATTGTCCCCAATGCACACCATGCTAATAAGAGGGTAAAAAAACTCTCTAGTAGGCCGAAGCACTAGCAGCTCATGGGGTACTCAGACTTCTCCCAGGCTTGGTCCTTCGTGCGGTACCTCACACTTAGTTCCAACCATCTGGTTTGCTGTTGCATCCTTCCAATAGCTTTGCTTTCCATGCTCCTAGAAAATTAAGAAGCGACACTACAAAAACAATACAATTAAAAATAATAATAAATAAAAAATAAAAAAAATAAAAGAAAGCAGTAAGGCTGGGTTGCCTCCCAACAGCGCTTGATTTAACGTCGCGGCACGACGCGAATCACTTTCTGCCTCCACTTCGAACTTATAAATTGGACCCCAAGTTTTGATTCTGCTCTATGATCATGCTCCTGGGGTGGTGGAACGAATCTGACTGGCCTAATAAAACAATGTAGTATTCTGCACTTCTTGGCCTTTAGATGAGATGTGTATTCCCGACTTTCTAGCAAGAAGAATTCCAGAATGTAAGTACCTTGGTCCTTATTCCTCCACTCCTCAAGTGACTCAGATGACTCTATTTCTATATCATCATCTAGATACAATGTGAAAAAATACTTGGAGTGTGGACCAATGCGCTCAACTACATGAACATTGGGATTGTCAACATCCTCAATACCAATAACACTAGAGTCAACTAAATATATATCCTCAATATCCTTGTTTGACTCTAGTATCTCTTCTACAACATCAACATCCTCAAAATCCAGTCCGATTGATTGTTGGTGTTCTACTCTGGACTTCTCCACTAGCACCTCAATTTCTGTATCTAATTCACGCTCCTCTTGGATACTATTCACAATATTGGCTTGTTGAGCATTAAATCTTCAACCAGTTGACTCACTTGAACTTTCAAGTTGTGAATAGTTTCCTCTTGCTTTTCATCTGCAACTGTAATTTACTATTTTGTTCCACAAGGAACTTTAACATATTATTTTGTTCCACATGGCACTTTAGCATATCCTTGATCTCTTTTCGGTCGTCATCCCTGCGTTCTTTGTTCCTATTAACTTCACAAGAAAAAGAAGAACCATCAAAGTAAGGGGTTGGGGAAGATAAGAAATATAAGCACAACCATGAAAGTGACCATCTTGACCACCACACATATCACACACATTACACACATAAGATTGAGTTGGTGCACGTAACTCGCTCTCGGAATATTTTGATAATTTTGCCCTGGGTGGTTTCCTCCACAATATGCATAAGGAGGATCAAAAGTAGAATTACCAACACCAAAACTCTAATAATTCCAAGATGCCATGTTTCTCAAATTAACAAGTAAAACAAAAATAAAAAAAATTCAAATACAAGAAAGCAAAAATAAAAGTTCAAACTTGCAACCTAGCAATATATACACCTACAGCTAAACCGTTAGTTCCCCGGCAACGACGCCAAAATTTGATCACGCCCATCTATGCCTTATAAAAAGGACTAAGCGGCCGTTTCAAATATAATCCGGTTTACAAGTCCGGAGTCGAATCCCACAGAGAACTAAGGCTTAACTACAGTTGTTCAATATTGTAAAGAAACACAAGTCCAACTAATTTTCTAATTACAAAGATTATAATATTTATTTTTATCTAATTAACTAACAAATACTAGAAAGCAGTAAAACTATCAATTAACAAGGATAAGTATTGGAGACAAGATTAAGGATGTCTAGAGTTATGATTTCCCCTATTGTCAAAATCCGTTCCGCTACATTTTCTATAAATTTGCCTAGGTCTTCTCTACCGATCATGAGCACTCTGACTGTCTTAACTCTCTCCCGAGTAATTACCACAATTTACTAGATATATTCTCCCGAATTACGCTAGTTGGCATTGAGTACGACTCACTTGGATCGCACCAAGATTTTATTATCCTTAATCCCACCTTTAAACCCTCCGTATTGATCCCTCATATACGTTAGGAGTGATGTTGTTCAACGACTACCTAAATATGCACTCCCTCCCGAATAATACAAACTAAATAGGCACAGTCGATTGAGAGCTCTTCAACAAACTACAATATAAGCGTAGTTGAACAAATAGAGAAAAAGCTACATCAAATCTATATTAACGTAACAGGAAAATCATCCTCCAATAGGTTCCATCAAAACCCTAGATAACAAATTAGCTATTCATAATAGTATGCATAACTACAATACTATAATTCATAACCAATAATGGAAATAGGAAGAAGGAAGTGAAAAACTCGTAGAAGAATTCTCCGCCTTGCTCCTAGTGTGTTCTTGCCTCATTAGGTCGAATCCCCGGTCTCCTTAGCCTCTTTAGGTCTGAATTATGTACAAAGTCCTTAAAATACCGTTTCTCTCATGTATATATACCAAGTAGGGTCGGACCCAAACAATTATACCTTCTCCTACGCAAAAAAGGACACTTTTTCCGGACAGAAGTGCGCGGTCGCGGATCAACCGCGGATTGACCGCGCACTTTGACCAATGTTCTGCCTGACATGCATGGCCTCACACCTTTCACCCCGTTCTGTTTGGAATTTGAAAAAACGTAAAACATGATAGTTGTAGCCCTTTGAATTAGCTTTCCAACCATTTATTGTGGAGCCCAAATGGAGTTCTGAGCAAAGAGTTATGTGCATTTTACCAGACAGTGCATAATATGATACTCGATTCTTCGTTCGTTCTTAACTATTATCCGTTGATCCCCGAACACGATCCCGGCTTAATTCCTTGTGCTTTTACTCAGAACTTAAAGATCCAGATCACTTCGATTCATTCCATAATATCTACATAGCTCGGAATCACTCCTACAATGCATAAAACACACAATTAGTGCAAAACACTAGCGATTAAAGCTCAAACTCAACTGAAGTGTAGTGAATTGGAATGTAATAATCGACTAAAATACGTAATTATAGTAGGGTGGGCGTCGTTTGGTTATTATGAAAGTATGGTTCGGCTTATCCATTTTTGGTTTTCTAATATTAATAACCAAATCAAACCAAAGTATTTACGGTTCGGTGCGGTTTTTTCAAAGTTCGGTTCAGTTATTTCCGGTTTATTTTTTCAATTTTAAATGGTTCAAGGAAATTTTATGCTTCTGGAAATGCTGGTTTTAAAGTTCGTATCTAATAAAAGAGGAAGGGAATAACAACATGGAAAAGTTTGATGTAAATCCTACAGTAGTTGTATCCAATCATTTAAGGCCAAAATGTTTTGCTAGAAGAAGAAGACAATAGAATCTGTCAGGGTCAGCTTATCAACAAACTAATTGGAGTACTGCTTCAGAAAAGAATTCATCGCTAACTGCCTAACTGGAAAACAATTCCACTTCAGATTGAGAAGAATTCAGCGATGAAAAGAACTTCACGTCCAACAGGACTTCATGTCCAAACGTGTTCTCAACAGTGAACACAGCAACAAAATCTAGCTGCAAGCCTGCAACAGGACTTCACGTCCAAACTCCAAACAGTCGCACAGAGCTGAGGAAGAAGGCAACAGTTGCAAAGTTTGCACAGTGTCGCAGTTGCACAGAGCCTCAGAGGAGAGGAACCCTAAATCTAATTTTTGATGGGAAGTTGGGAACTTGGGAAGTAACGTAAGTGACTGTGACAGTAAGTTTGGGTAATTATGTTTGGGTAAATTGGGTGGGGTGGGCTTCAAAGGTGTTGGACTATTGGGCATTTGGGCTTCAGCCTAAGATCATAAGATGGGCAGGGTAATAAGTTTTGAACTAATACCCAAAATTTCGATTTTTCGGTTTAACTGAAAACCGAAATAGAAAATCGTAACCGCACCGAAAAACCGAAAAATAATAATTTTAAAACCGTGCACCGACCGAAAAATCGATTAAACCGAAACCGAAAAACCGAAATTCACGGTTCGGTCGGTATTATGCCCACCCCTAAATTATAGCCTATCATCAAGAATTTACGAAGAAGACACGTGAAGCTTTTGCTAAACTTCCTCTCAATTTCCTAAGCCTGCCTTTGGATATAACTCCTTTTATCACAGGCTGTAATTAAGCTCATATGAACTCAACATGAACCTACACGAGCCATTGTGATACACCGAGAATTCACCCATTTTTTGGGTTCAATTCATAGCCTATCACCCCTTTAGGAAGAATGCCAGTTTGGAAGTCATAGTTCTGCAACTACCTCATCAATGCTTCACCAAATGAGATAAAATTTTGACGAGAAACTGTAACGAGAGGATAGCAAAACCAATGGTTACTAGAAGTTCTTGGGTAAAGTGAGGATGCAATTAACTGTGAGATGCATAATGCTTAATGGAATTGTTATTCCATTTATAATTTTTGTAAAAAAAATTAAATTTGGTAGATTAAATAAAACAAGATATGTTTAATGTAGTCTCACGTTGGTTTTATGAAAGACATGCCCGAATATCTTTAGTTGTGTTGTTTGGAGTTTATTCATTTGTAATGTTTGAAATATTTCACTAGGGCTTAAGTCGTTGAATGTTAGGGGTAAATATTTCACTAGGGCTTAAAAACGCAAATATTTAGTATGGTGGCAAAAACAATATATGCACATTTATTTTATAATATGGTGGCATGGCACAAAAGATAATACAAAGTAGATATCAATTTCGTATAGAAAGTATAATTCTAGAACCACATATCTCCAGAATTAAAGCTCGTTTACAAGACGAGTTGTGACAATAATCTGGCACCGTTACATAAATTTTTGCACACATCGCAAGTAGACTCTACGAAGAAGACACATGGAGCTTTTGCCTAAACTTCCTCTCATCTTCATGAATAAAATCCAATCCACATTCACAACTTGGGCATTCCACAAAACTCCTAATAGGAAAATTTGCTGAAGTAATCCCAACTGAAAATTGTAGATTTTCACCTTTCCTTCTAACATCCACAATGTTAAGCCATATCAATACAACCTTAACACTAACACCACTCAATTTCCTAAGAATTCCTTTAGATATCACTCCTTTTATCACAGGCTTGTAATTAAGTTCATATGAACTCAACATGAACCTACATGAGCCATTGAAATACGCCGAGAATTCGCCCGTTTTCGTGTTCAATTCATAGCCTGTCACCCCTTTTGGAAGAATCCCAATTGGGAAGTCATAGTTCTGTAACTCTTCATAGGCTGAGGGCTTCTCATTTGCTGAAATGGAAGCAGAAAAGAAGAGGAGAAGCAAAGAAATGGTTGCTAAAGACATTGTATTTCTTGAATTTTGACAAGAAGTTATATGGTTTATAGATGCTTTATTCATGAGTTGGCTACATGTGGATTGATGCTGTTGCCCAATATAACAATTCTTTAAGGTATTGTTGTACCAACTTCATGACAAAAGGACAAGAGTATTAAACGTATAAAACACTTTACAGGACTTATAGCCTTCCTCAATTATCTATATAAATTTTTTTGTAACGATCGTGTCTTGGCTAGTTTGTTCGCACCTCAACTATTTTACCAGCTACTTGCTATTTTTATCAGCACTGGTATTGGGGCCAGGAGCAAATTTATAGCCCCAATCATGGGACACATGAGCCGATGATCTCACTGTCAAACTAGGTATTTTATGCACGTATTTTTTAAAATTAGTCTAATATATTCTGTTAACATCCATATTTCGAAAAGATTGAATGATACACTTGGTCATCAGTAGAGTGAAGATGACTTTCATAAGGCCAACTTCTCTCCTTCTCAATCATTTTCTTTGTTTTTCACTCAATTATTCTGTTTTAGGAAATTAGCCATTTTCTGTCTTTTATCATTCTTTTTGAATAATACTGATTACTGTCTTATTCTAGTAATCATTTTCTTGAATTATGAATATTTAAATGCATCTTCCTTTTCATCTACACATCCATTCGGTTCCAGCTCTATCCAAGATACTTTTGTACTAACCTATTAGCCAAAGTTATTGTGGAAACTACTTATTCGAAGGAAATTTCTCTTTTTGTTTCGTACCTCCGCTCCTAAGCTAACTAACAGCGTTATTCGTCCCTATGTCCTCTACCGAATCTGAGGATGAAACTTGAGCTTCATTCTTCTCGAAACAAAAGTAGTACAGAAGATAGTAAAAAATCTGGACAAAACCTTCCTCTCGATTCTCGAACAATCAGTTATACACAAAATATTTCTAAAATATATATTCACAATCTTTTTTCTTAAAAAACAAAAAGAAGAGGGAAAAAAAAAATACATCTATACCATCTATAAGAGTAGTTAAGAGCAGTGTATTCAAGCGTAGGTTATTCTCTGATAAGTCTGATATGCCCTCAACTCGAAAGTTAATGACAAAAAGGTTGGCACAGTAAATCGCATAAAATATATGCAACCTGCTTTAAGAATCATTTTCCCTCCAAAAAATAAAAAAGAAAAAGAAAATATGGTATCAAGTTGGGTTTCTCAATGCAAAGGATAATGTTTTTTTTTTTTTTTGGGGATTATGTGCAGCGTCTAATAAATTACTTCATTCTGTTGAAATTTGAAAAGCAAATATTTTATGATGTAGTTTGACCATTTCTTTAACATGGAGAAACTTGCTAAGATCACAAATTCACAATTAATCATTTTAAATTATATTTACATGTCGATTCTGTTATTAGTTGTCAGATTTTTTCAAAAATAATGAAGATGTTCAAATAACTATTTTTCCGTTTTTAAAAAATCAATATAAATAGTTTTTTGCAGCTAAACATGTTTTCGTTTTCAAAATTAAGCACTACTTTTTTTCCCAAAGAAGTTTTCGATGCAAATTATGATAAAAGTTTAAAATATCATATATGGAAATCTAAATTACAAATTTAACTTATGACAACCCTTTAAAAAGTCAACTTTCTTTTTCAAACTTTGAACAATCAATTGGCTTACCAATCAAGGCAAATGGTAAAAAGTTATTCGCATATAAGGATGGTAAATAACTTATTATAATTGATTTAATTACATTAAAATTAATTTCTATAATAATTGAGAAATATAAGTTTTAGATTGTGACAAGACAACACTTATTACTCTCACGGTCTTAAATTATGTGACACTTTTTTATTTTTAGTGAGTTAGTCAAACATCCCGACATAAATTAGTATGAAGGGAACACTTTTTATTTTTTTAATTCGGTGTTTGATATTGGCTTTGGAAGTTGAATAATCGAGATATGTGTGCGAAAATTGTTATGAATTAAATTATATAAAAAATTAAAATAAAAAATAAATATTTATGAGCAATGTGGATGTCATTTGAAAATAAGTATAACTACTAACGGTAAAACGCTCTCATAAACTTTCAAATAAATTGAAACGAAGAGAGTTCAGTCAAACACCTCAATATGAAATGGAGCAAAGGGAGCATATTCTTTTTTCTTATTTAGTGTTCGATATCTACTTTGGAGCTTGGATAATTCAAATATGTGTTGGGAAGTGGGGTAAAATTTATATTTGGCAGCACGGTACACTAAGCTCCTATTATATGGGGGAGGATCGGACCACAAGGCAATTTCATTTTTCAAGACGTTTGATTATAGATTAAGCTCCCGTTTGGACATAAATTTTGGCTACCTTTTCCAAAAAAAAAAAATTGAAACATTATTTGTTCCCGTAGGTTGATTAGTTTTTGAATTTCTTTTTTTTTCAAGTTTAATAAATTCTTCCACTCATAAAACTTTAATATTTTTCAAGTAAAATCCATATTCAAATGCAACTTTAAACTTTTAAAAATTATTTTTCAACACAATTAAAAAAAAAAAAATCTTTTACACGTTACATTGAACTTAAACATACAGTACTCCATTTCTCATTTGCTGGGAGCTCAATAGTCAAAGTTCTCTTTTGTTCTTCAATTCTAGGCTTCTAGCAATAACAAACACAGTAAAGGCAAACATGGAGAAAATACAACACAAGAATCTCAGTGTAAACGGCATAAATATGCATATAGCTGAAATTGGCAAAGGTCAATCTGCAATTTTATTCCTTCACGGATTCCCTGAGCTCTGGTATACATGGCGCCATCAATTGATTTCTCTCTCTTCCAGAGGTTACCGTGCAATAGCTCCTGACCTACGTGGCTATGGCGACACAGATGCGCCTCCTTCTCCTTCTAGTTATACGGTGTTTCACATAGTTGGTGACCTTATTGCCCTTCTTGATACTTTAGGTCTCGATCAGGTCAGAGCTGAATCTAGAATTTAAAGTATGGAGCCATTTAATATTGAATTCAGCTTGAACTGTGCGCCTAATCAAACAGTGCCATATAAATTGGGTCGAAGGAAGTGTATGTTATATTAAATTAGGATTAATATAGATAATTATATGTTCTTATATGTCATCTTAACCTGATAGTGTAATAAACTACTCATTGTTGGTGTGCAAAAGTTGAATTCTTCATTGTTACGCATATAAAAATTGTTTGAATTTTCTTTCTACATATATATAGTTCATATTAACCAGTGCGTCGATCCTATCAAATTTGAGGCGAATCTCTAATTTAATGTATGCACCATTTAATATGTAGACAGTTATGCACTATTTAATACTCCATTGTATTTAACTTATATATATTGTCGGTATAAATAACTTTTGTACTATCAGTATTTAAATCGCTATGACATTTGTTGCAGGTCGTCTTAACCTGATAGTTTAAAAAAATATTGTGCGTTGTCAGCGTACAGAAGTTAAATATTACATGTAAACATTTTGTTTAAATTTTCTATATACATATAGATAGTTCAACTGGTGGCCAATTTAGGATCTGAAGATAGTGGTGCACAACTTATAATATATAGATTGGGGATGCATCATTTAATGGTTCGAGTTTCAAGCAGTGAATGCAAGTGCATCACTGCATCTGTTACTTAAGTGTCGAATTTACCTGCATGAATTTGTCCTTCATAATTGTTGCCCTTTTTGGTACTTGGGTCTCGATCAGGCTAGAGACGTATTTAATATGGAGCACTTAATATCATACAAATAGAGCCTTCTTAGACTTTCTATGTACCTAATAGTAGTTCGAGTAATCAGACGCTAATCTAGGATCTAGAGATGATGGTGTCCAGCTAATATATAGACAGTGGATGCGCCACTTAATATATATACAGATTTACAAAGCTTTTTGTTTAGAATTTTGAATATACATATATATTTCGAGTTAAAATACTGGAAGCACATTATTACTTACATGCTGGATTTGCTTATGATTATTCAGGTGTTCCTTGTTGGACATGACTGGGGTGCTATTATAGCTTGGTACTTATGCCTTCTTCGACCTGATAGGATCAAGGCACTGGTTAACATGAGCGTCGTCTTCCACCCTAGGCATCCGAAGAGAAAGCCTATTGAATCTATGCGTGCTGTTCTCGGGGATGATTACTATATTTGCAGATTTCAGGTTCACCTTCCTCTCCTATTTTGTTTTCTTTTAACTGTTATATGATCCTCCAATAGGTACAAAAAATGTGGAAATGGATTGAGGCTTAGTTATTGTTCGATGATATTTTTAACTCTTCCCATGCGATGCTTCACAAAGTATAGCTGGTTCCAAATTTGGATAGAAGAGGATGGTTTCCCATAGATTGACAGCGAGCTTAAGAATAGTTAACTTTAACGAATTCTCTGTATAGAATAAAAATGATCTATATGGCTAACTCCAATTATTTTGGGATTTTGAGAAGTTGATTAATGTTGACTGTTGTATAATCTTCCTTGCTGCACTAGGGATAAAGTTTTTTGGTGATACAATCACTTTCAATTTCTCTGTTTGAATGATTTTGCTGGACTTGGGTGTTCATATTGCATTGGTTGTGATTGAAATGAGTTTTGGGATTCAAATCTCTGTATTTGGCGTTCGCTATCCAAGCTGGTGTATGATTTCTCTATTTAAATCGACTTACATTCCTTGGATTTTGTGACTGCTGTACTATTGCTTGATTATTAGTCCAAGAGCAGTAAACTTTTGGGTGGATAGACCATGAGTAAGAGGGAAGGAGTTTGTGCTGATACCAAAAATTTGTTAGAATGCACTGTGCACAAAACTTAGTATGGTACTTGCCATGGCGTAAGCGAAGCTAGTGAATGTCATTATTGTATTCTGTTAAAAGAATTCGTTGGCAAATCACAGATCCTACTGGTTATTGGCAGAGTCTAATGTTGGTATGATGTCCGCAGACTCCCAGTTTCCGCCATCCGGCTTTCTTATAAACATTTCTTATAGAGTTTCTTACTTACTAAATATTGTGACGGATGGTATTGTATTCACTGACATGTCGATTGCTTACTCCATATTCATTGTATTCCTATGTCGTGCACTTATGTTTATATCAAAATAGAAAAACGGAAAAGATACATCTTGACCATGTCATTTTGTGGTTTGCATGCTAGAGCATTATCCGCTCTTACACTGGTTAGCGTGTGCTTGGGTTCACTCAATGTGAATTTATATTGCTGGGATTGCTCTTGTATTGCTCTTAGCCCTTCTGTTTTTAACACCATTTGTATAGTTGTATTGCTGTTGGCCCTTCTGTTTTTTTACACCATTGATATAGTTGTATTGCTCTTAGCGCTTCGGTTTTTTTACACCATTGATATAGTTGTTCTTAGTTGTGATGATATTTTTTAGGATCCGCGTCTTTATCTTTTTTATGGTTGGTTTGTTCTTTTGTTTTGTGATGCCCAACATCAGTGAAATCTGATGTTTCTCTTTTATTCTGTTTATTATCTAACATCTCTAACTTCACTTAAAGCCTTTCGGATAAAAAATAAGATTGCTTCCCCTAGGAAAGAAATGATCTTAATATTTCTTTAGGCTGTTTCAGAATATTACTTAGTTGCCCTCATCTCATTGACATGACAATTCCGATTTTTCAACATTGTAGCTACAGAGTTGTAGTTGGCTTTTATTGTGAATAGGGTTCTTATGCTGGAATTTAGTATTAGGCAAAAGATAGGCAAATTTGATGAAATTGCAGTGTTTATGAGGTGCTAATGTGAATCCTTTCTTCATTGCTGAAGACTTCATTTAATCATTATCGGCTTATCAAAGAAGAAAAAATACTTCACTTTATCATCGTTGCTGAAGACATAATTTTGAATGTTTTTGTTTTCTTAGGAATATGGACAGGTGGAAGAGGAGTTTGCTCGTGTTGATACTGCGAGACTAATCGCAAAGTTCTTAATATCTCGTAATCCAGCCCCCCTTCGTGTATCTAAAGAGAAAGGATTTGGGGGTTCAAGTCATACTCCAATCAAATTGCCATCTTGGTTGTCAGAAGAGGATATCAACTACTACGCAAATAAGTTCAGCCAGAAAGGTTTTACTGGTGCATTAAACTATTATCGCGCTATGGACCTGTGAGTTGCCTTGTCACTTTCTTCACCGAATGAGCTATTTCTCCATGAACACTTACGTTATTTTGTTCTTATATATTGTGTAGAATTGGTGCTTACATGAACCAAGAATTGTGCTGCATATGTGATGCTGGTTCTTAACAGAGAGATGTTTAGAGATGACACAAAATGACATCCTTAATTAGTTGATTTATTGATCTGCTATCGTCGATCAACTTAATTGTTATATGTTTGACACCAGTTCATAAGCAATGTTGCTTTAAGAGGCAGATGCAGCCTAATATAGTGACTTCAACTGAACCCAGTATTTTCAACAGACACCATAGAGATTTATGCGTAGAACCACTAAAATTTCAAAAAATATTAATTTTGAACCCGCAATTTCAAAAGTACGTTGTGTTTGGTGCTGAGTACATTATAGGTATTCTGGATCCGCCTCTAGTTGCTTTGACTCTGAAACTCTTAAGTTTGCTGCAAATACGATTATATATGGTGTTAGCTGTTTGTGTGGCCATTTTATTATTGTTTTGTTTTTAATTGTTGCAGAAACTGGGAGCTGACCGCGCCATGGACAGGGTTGCAAATAAAGGTCCCGGTTAAGTTTATCGTAGGGGATCTTGACCTGACTTACAATACACCTGGTGTAAAGGAATATATCCACAAAGGTGGTTTCCTAAAAATGGTGCCATTTTTGCAGGAAGTAGTTATCATGGAAGGAGTTGGACACTTCATCAATGAAGAAAAACCAGAAGAAATTAATGACCACATTTATGACTTTATCCAGAAGTTCTGATGTGCTTGTTTTATCACAGGTACCCTCACAATCTTGCTCCAAGTGCTTTATATGTTTGGAAATCGGAATAAAAGGCTACTCCTGGGGTTTGAGATCATTTGCTTACTATTAGCAAATATTATGTATCTGTAACTTCAAAGCTTATTCTAAAGAAATTCAATTTGTGGACTTCTTCGTGACTATTGTTGATTGTTCGCCATGGAAGAATCAAATGGACTGAAATGGAACACTTCTAAGAAATAAAAAGAAAGGGAAACCTGAATGAGATGATTATTCAATCAATCAATCAACTATGTTTCAATCAGATACTAGTTGGGTCTATTATATGAAATCTTTTGTATCTATTCTGCTCTAGTCAAGATTGCGTGTTTAAGTGGTACCAAAATAGAGTGCCCTGTTCTGGTCTACTTTGTGAGTGCTTAGAAGGGGACAAACAACAAACTTGATAAGACTAGGCTAGCCTCAACTCTACTAGCCTCTTAATCAGCCAGGCATATTTTAAATAGATTTCTTTAAAAAATGGATCAACAAAGGAAAAGAAAAAAGAATTCACATTTAACTATAACTCTCAAGTTGTTCATTGAGAATTATGTTTACAATGTTGCTTATTAATTCAATCAATATCAATCAACTTTGCCTCGATACCAAATTAGTCAGAATCGAGGTAATTCATACAAATATAAAGTAAAGAAAAAGACTATAGGGGTTGAGGGAAGAATAAATTGATGCTGATCATGTTCATATAACGATCCCAATTTTTTGGGACTGAGACATTGTTGTTGATCATGCTTTAAAGTATGGCACTCCAGTCCGTGGCAACCAATCCTCTCCAAGTAGAAATTCAGAAACTGTGAAATTCGCAGCATCAGTAGCATTGATAACATGAAAACCAGGCCAAGTGACTCTATCACTAGTGTTAGAACCTGGTCCTGTGTTATTAAACTCTGCATAATAACTTGTATTAAGTGCAAAATCCCCTGTCCATTCTTTCCAACCTAATGGATTAATAAATCCATCGATAAAATTTTGCGCATAAATAGTCCTCGAGTACTCCTTCCAAGGCCTACCAAGATATGTTTGTGTACTACTGTTGCTAAACCTCAAGTCATCTGCTGGATTTATGGTGCAATTTTGAATTGATATTCCTGTGTTTTGGTTTGGATCTGTTCTGCCTTGTGCTGTTATTGCATTGAACTGTTTCTCCAAAGGTAGTCGCGGGTACAAGTTGCAGTTCTGGAAAACTGCAGCTGCGTTACCGAATATGAAATCAACTGTACCATATATGTCACATTCTCTGTAAAATTGTCTAAGGGAGTGGACATATAGTGTATCTTGGTACCCCTCGAATCTGCAGCTGTAGAATGTGGATAAATCTGCACTATTTCGGACTGCAACTGCTTGATGGTTGATTGCTCCTGCGGTGTTTTGGAATGTGATGTTCACTGCTACAAATCCTTGGCCGTGCACAGCTGCAGAAGAAAAGGTCAGATACTGTAAGATAACCATGTTAAAAATATGTGTTTAAATTGTATACACTAGTAAAGTTTTTCTGCAGTCTCTGTGAATTCTAACATGTGATAGCAAGTTAATTATCATTTTTATCAGGTCTCTCATATATCATACTGCCAGTGCAAAAAACTTGAACTCTAAAAATATGATTTATGTTATATATAGGACACTGGTAAAAACTTATATATTGTCAGTTTAACTTAACCTGATATAACATGTTATTACTTTATTTTTTAGGTTTCAGGATCAGGCTTGCTAGGAAGAGTAACATGGTAGTGTAAATAATCTGTAGATTGTCAGTTAAATTCTGAAAAATATATGAGTTTATGTTTTGTGTACTGACAGTGTAAGAAGAATTTGACACTATCGGTTAAGGGACTCGTCTTGTCAAGTATGATATGGTTACCTGAAAAATAGAGTAGTAATAATCTACTATAGCCAATTAAATTACACTAATAATTTGAAATTCTTTACACTATCAGCGTACATAAATTAAACTCAAAATTTATTACTGCTTCAAATTTGATAAAACAAGATAGGAGTAATATGAGGTACTGACCAAATGTAGAAGAATTATATGTTGTAAAGTTATCAACACCATAGCTATGGTTGCCAGTGATGATGGTTTGGTTGATACCATCACCAATCATCATCAAATACTTCTTGTTCTTGGAAATGTGAACATACTCCTCATACACACCAGCATTAATATATATGAGAAAGTGGCCTGTAGTACCATCAGTTTTGTTTGGAGCTGCAGCCACAGCTTCATTTATGGTACTAAAATTCCCACTTCCATCTTGGTTTACAATCACAATGTCACTCACCAAAACCTGGTCATCATCTTCCTGCTCCAAGTTTCAAATACAAATTAGATTTCGTGGCTATAACATTTTGTGTCAAATAATTTCATGTAACTTAAGGTTTACTATTGTTACAGTAACTTCAGATGTACGACAAGAACTTATGATTAGCTAGAAATTTGAGGAAAATTTTGGGGAACGCCAATGACTGGTAGCTTATCTGTCAAAAAAAAAAAACATTATAAAGAATTTATTAAGCACCTATGGTTGTGGCCTAGTGGTCAATGAAGTAGGTGAGAACCGTGAGGTCTCAGGTTCAAAATCACTAGGTGATCTTCCCATCTATCCAAGCCTTGGTGGATAGAATTACCTGTTGCTGGTGGGAGGTGGCAGGTATTCCATGGAATTAGTCGAGGTGCGCGCAAGCTTGCCCGGACACCACGGTTATAAAAGAAAAATAAAGAATTAATTAATCAGTTAAACATTTGAGAGACAAAAACGCGTTAATTTGATTCATTTGAAGTGTCATTTCACTTATATGTTTCGATTAAATTTTGATGTCATCTTTATAAACCTGTTATTCCTATCATGCTATTGCTTCTGTCTTCCAACTATCTAAGACCGGATTCGATAGCAACTCCTACACCTATTTATTTGCACATTTGTAGCAAGAAAATTTGTAGCTATTTGGGAAATTATTTGACATGATGCTTAGCAACTATAGCATGAATGGGGAATCTTAATGTTTGTGACTATTGTTAGGTACTAGCGACAATCTTCATATTCATAGTTGAGGATTCTTAGATGTATATGCATAATGTTGCAGCATAACTCTTCTTATCAAGTCTAATATGGTAACCTAGAAAATAGAGTAATAATCTGCTATAACCGGTTATGCGCGGGTAGTGTAGAGTATATTTGTCACTCACCAAATCTTGATCATCATCCTGCTGCTGGAGCAGCTTTCTCCTGCTGATGCTCTCAAATATGGCCCTATTTCTTGCAGTCATTTTCAAGGGCAAGTGGCCATTTCTGAAAGCTGACTGCTTTTGGGTAATTGGGTGAGACTTGGATCTTTTTTTCTTGTTGGGAACCCACCCTTTTATGAACAAAGCTAAAGAAACACTATAAAGCTTTTTGTCATCTATGAGAGGGGTTAAAATGCCATTTCTCAAACTCCAAGGAAAATCAGTTTCTTGGAGACCATCTAAACAAGTTTGTGTATTTGTCAAAATAGCACTTAGCAAAGTTTGCACATCCTCTGCTTCCAGGATTGGTAAAATCTTGGAAGTTTCATTAACAGTCTTGAAAGTGCTTGAAAGATAGTCAATGTTTAGCTCAGCTAAAACTTGACAATCTTCTAAAGCACGAATATCGATAATACGTAAAATTTTGGATTGTCTTAGGTATTTTTGAATAAGGGAATGGAACTTATGAGCTGAAGATAAAGATTTATGAACAGAAAATCGACCATAGTCATAGACATTATTATTGGATGTGACATTCTCAGTTGTTGGGAGCATGGATTTACAGAAATTAGGAAAGGGAGTGAACTTGCAAATGGTGGAAGGAGAGACAGGGTTGATAATTGGAAGAATATTAGCAGCAGAAGATTGAGATAGTGAAAACAGGACAAATAGTGTTAGAGTGAAAGAAAGGGTGTAATGAGCCATGAAAAGCTTAGAAATATTGTTATCCATGACTTAGATCTCTTGATTGAATGGTGAATGTGAAATGTGTACTTGATACTAGTACTATATATAACAAAGAATTCAGAGGCAGCTTAAGAAATAGAGAAGAAAAGTACTTAGTAAAATAATTGTTTAGGTTACATTTTTTATGGGACATTAATGGAGAGTCAACCAATTAATTTGCATCGTCATTTTCTGCAAAGCGTGTTGATCTTGATTAGGATTTAACTTATATCGACTGATAATATAATTGATTTTTACACTATCAGTTCACTTTAGCTGGTTATAGCAGGTTTTTGCTTTTCGTCAGCCTTATTGTCGAGAGCTACATGTTGATGTAGGGCATCTTAACTTGATGATGTAAAAACGTTATACATTGTCAGTGCACAGAAGCTAAACTGAAATGACTATATAGCACATTGATTATGAAGGCATTCATTAGGCTCAAACAAGCTAAGGGGAGCAACTTTATTGTCTGAATTATTAGTATTTCAATAATCCAACGTTAGAAGAACAGTTAATTAATGCTTGCTGTTTTTAGTATTATTATAGTATTTGTATGTGAAGTATACGCAACTTGCTGATGAGTTTGTTTGTGCATAGATTGTCAATACAGTAAGCACATGCAACTGCGATTCTCACGTACCATGTATATGAGAATTAGAAGAAAATACTCCTTAATAATCTTCTAATACGATAACCTCCCCTATATGAGCTTGCTTACATTGCCAGTCTTAAGCCTAAATGAAGAAGTTGTACGCAGACAGCCAGTTTAAAACTAGTCAATTTTAAATAAGTTATATGTGCAGACATGCAGTTAATAACACGTTTAAGAAATTGTGGCTACCCTGTGACCTAATCTTGTTTTGGAAGAAAAAGAAGCGTCAAATTACTTAAACTGGTGCGAATCCGAATTTTGTGGGGCTCCAATATAAATAACGGAGGGAAATCACAAAAAAAAAAAGGATGAGCTTGAAGCAGAAACCAAATGTATATCGTCGATGATGAATGTCTGCATGAGGATCAAGAATTCAGCAAATTAGCATTGCATATCCAGAATTTAAAGTTAAAATAGCACGGGCTAGCCAGTTTTTGGACTGGTCATTCAAAAATAGCCAGCGTTTGCAAAGTCATTGAAAAATAGCTACTATTTTGCTGCAATAGGGACCGGTCCAGCATAATATACTAGAGATCGTTGTACCTGTGTATGAACTTCCAGCATATTATGCAGAAATTCCAACACGCAGAAAGTTCCAGCATAATATATTGGAGATTGGAGCACCTGTGTATGAATTTCTAACATATTATACTGGACCTGTATATTATGCTGGAACTCCATTATAATATGCTGGAGTTCCAGTATACGTATGCTGGAACTCCATTATAATACACTGGAGTTCCAGTATACTTATGCTGGAACTCCAGTATATTATGCTGGAGTATTTTCCAGATTTTGAACAGTGTTTTCGTTCAGATTTATCTTTACATGAAAAGTGGCTAAATTTCGATTACTTTTGAAACTGTGGCTATTTTTGAATGACCACTTGTAAATCTGGCTATTTTTGAATTTCTCCCCAATTTAAATACCGTGAATCTTAAAATATGTATATTTAATTCTATCTATATTTAATTTATTTCGGATGGGAGCCCTGGAACAACAGTAAAGTTGTCTTCGTGTGACCTATAGGTCACGGGTTCGAGCTGTGAAAGCAACCACTGATGCTTGTATTAGGGTAGGTTGCCTGCACCATACTCCCTTGGGATGCGGCTCTTCTCCGAACCTTGCGTGAACGCAGGATACTTCATGCACAGAGCTGCCTTTTTTAATTAAATTTTTTTTTATCTATACGTATTTCTCGCACCTATATATATAATAGGGGTATTTGGCCCTGAAGTACTTGGGTCTGTAGTTGAAGTTGATGTTCCTTCCCTACTGAGCTGTACTTTTTTTCCACCTATTAACAAGGTATTAAGAAGATTGTGCTAGAAACTGATCTGAAAGTGATATTCATTTTTATAATCACATGTTTATATATATTAGGCGAATTAAAATGGGAAAAAAAACTCCATTGTTAGGGTCTTTAAAAGCTTGAAACTAATAAATGAGTTTTGTGATTTGTTGAAGTTTTTGGCAAATTGATAATTGAGACTGTCATTTGGAAGTTGCGGTTCACTTTTGAAGCTATTCAGTGAAGATTTGAGCTATTTAGTGATGTTTTTAATGAGTTGAAGTTTGTAGGAGAAAGAATCCACCTTTTTTATTCTTATTATAATAAGAACTCCCTTCGTGTCAATTTGTGTGAATCTGTTTGACTAGGCACGGAGTTTAAGAAAAAATAAAGACTTTTGAAATTTGTGGTCCTAAACAAGTCAAAAAGGGGTCCAAGGTATTTGTGTGGTTATAAAAGCTTCTCATTAAGGGTAGAATTGTAAGTTTAAGCTAAATTGTTTCCAAATTTAAAAAAGGGGTTATTCTTTTTGGAACGTACCAAAAAGGAAATAGGTTCACATAAACTGGAACAGAGGGAGTATATAATATTGTATAATATTACATACTGGATGTATAAACACTATTGCGAAAAAATAATGGTTATACGGTTGTAAACTTAAAAACGTGGCTACGTCTATGTAATATAGTGTGTTGGACTGTACTTTTGTGCAAATCTCTCGGTTTTTTACACAATCAAATCACCTTTAACTGTTATAACAGATAACCTATCTTATTTTCAAGATTACATACAAATATCCTTAAAAAACTTGATAGTATAAAAGAAATTTTTACGCTATCGGTGTAATGGTGTATAACTTAAAACTCATTTTAAAATTACGCATCTACAATCGATTTGACCAAGTCTAACGAAGCTATACTCCGCTCTGTATATATTAACACAGCCTGGTTTTCCTTTGTAGCAAGTGTTAAGAAGTCTAAATATTATATGACAACCGACGTCCGTGGAAGTCTTTAATTTATATCTTAATTAATTTTCTATGTTTATCAATATATCTTAATTAATTTTCTATGTTTATCAATATATCTTAATTAATTTTCTATGTTTATCAATGTATCTTAGCGTAAGTTGTGCTGCGTAAGTCTCTCCATGCTTTGGCAACAAAAAAATGCTTTACTCTTTTAAATCCATTTTGCATATGTATATTTACATTTAATTGGGGAGAATAGATTCAGTTAAACTCATAGAATCGCTCTAAATTTGCCTTTGTTGGCCTGCTCAGTTGACGCTATTTAAGTTTTTACAGCAGAAACTTGAGCTAGCTTAAATATGCTCGGCTTTACAAATTTTTTCTCGGATGTCATTCTAAGGCGGTTTATTTTTTAGTCCCTCTGTCCTAATTTATGTGGCAAAGCTCGGATTTTGAGAGTCAAACTTTTTAATTTTAACTGTAAAATTTATAAATGTTGTCCCTCTGTCCTAATGATAATGTTGTCCTCTTTATAAATGAGGAAGATGAATGCATGCACTTGTCAGGTCCATTGTCGGAATGGGTGGTTGATAAAACATCATCTTTCCATGCCACACTGGTAAGAGATCTTTTTTGCAGATATGTAGCAGGTGGTTTCAGCACTGTTAGAATGGATAACACAAGTTACTCAAAAATTGCGGGGATTGGTGACATTTGTATCAAGAAAAATGTCGGATGCGCATTGGTTCTAAAGGACGAGTGGCATATACCTGATTTGCGGATGAACTTGATCTCGGGAATTGCTTTGGACCGAGATGGGCTCGAGAACTATTTTGCAAATTAAAAGTGGAGACTCACCAAGGGATCATTGGTGATTGTAAAGGGAGTTGCTCGCGGCACGTTGTACAGGATAAATGCAGAAATATGCCAAGGTGAATTGAACGCGGCACAAGATGAGATTTCTGCAGATTTGTGGCACAAAAGAATGGGTCATATAAGCGAGAAGGGATTGCAGATTCTTGCTAAGAAATCACTCATTTCTAATGCCAAAGGTACAACGTAAAATACAAAAAAAAA